AAAGCCCTGAGCTGTGAACGAGCTGCGGTAGCTGCCTGTGCGCACCTCTTTACTCCGATCCTTCCGGGACATCATAGCTGGTAAGCATGTAGGGACAGAACTGCTTCACGGCGTCATTGCAATACAGTGCTCTTTTCTGACCTTACTTAAATTATTTCCGTAACCTTTCCTCTCTTGCTTCTTTCACTCTAGATGAACCACAACCTCAACAGTGGATATATTAGACAGGAGGTCTGTCCGTAATTGGCTCTGCGTGAGAAGACAAGAGTTACTTGGGGGAACATATTAAAGCTTCTGTCCTGTCCACATCGGCGTTTGAGTGGGAAAAGACGGGACCTCTGCGCTCCGAGGAGTCGCTCCTGTGCCGTGCAGCAGCGCCGGAGAACAGCCACAGACTCAGCAGACGCGCTAAAGGGAGCGGGGAGAGAGGACGGGAGAGATACTTTACGCACAGCAGCGCTCAGTTAGCTCTGTTTAACACGCGGCTACTAACTTTGGATCCCGTTTAGGACCCCGCATTCGCTTCGCCTCTTGGTCGGATTTGCACTTGACTAAGTGCACATAGTACGGTCGACTGGGATGGATTCCTTCATCATAGTGGCTCTGGCGCTAGGCTCTTTAACGGTACCAGCCTGCGGGGACAAAGGGACCAGCAAAGCCCGGAGTTGTTTGGATATCAGACAGTTTTATAGCGGGAAGGGATTCCCTCTGGATGGTGTCCCACAGTCTGAAATATCAGGTAAGATCCTTTCAGATACAGCTTGTCTAAGTCTGCTGTGTTCATGATGTGCACACCTTTCTCAGGACTAAATCTGCTCTTTACCACTGAAGTCCCAAAATACTTTCAGCACAATAAATCTGTCCATACACCTTAAATTGTGTAATACAGAACCCAAGAATTGTTTTAAAGTCATTGCTACTGAATATTATAATTGCCCTGCAAGCCTCCCTAGTAATGTTAGATGACTTTGGGGCAGACGTTGCACCTGCAGCAGAACCATTTGTTGTATCTAAGTGTTGGTGTGTAGATTTGGCATAAGCCTATCCTATAGAAATGAGTGATAGTAGGTTTGCATGTGGTTGGTTCAC